TATATGAGAGAAATTAAATAGTATAAGGAGAAAATAAATATAATTTGGATATATGTATAAGAATCTATATAAAAATTTATGTTTAATATTGTAAATATTATATACAAATTAATATAATAATATAATTTTTAAAGTTGTTAATATTTATTTTTTTTTAAGCTAAACATGTATAATAATATCGATAAAATAAATAAAAAATGTTATTCATTGTCAAAAAGGATTTATTTTCATACTCCTCAATACAGTTGTAATGCATTCTATATAAATTAAATTATAAGCGTATGCAACAAAACACAAGAACGATTGCTATAATTATTAAAATATATAAAGAAATCTCAAACGTGTATACCATTTGACTATGCGAGAGTATAAAATGTTCGGTTGCATCCGAACTTAGCCCTTTCTTACTTTTTATACTCTCGCAACCTGTTGCTACACCTAGAACTAATCGAGTTAGATATAGGGTTATATATATATAAATGATCAGGATGAAGAGACGAGGTAAAATCCGAGTGACTGTCTGTCCGTCTGTGCAAGCTGTAACTTGAGTAAAAATTGAGATATCTTTATGAAACTTGGTACACATGTTTCTTGATACTGTAAGACGGTTCGTGTTGCAGATGGGCGTAATCGGACCACTGCCACGAAAAAATAAAAACAATTCACTGGGAAGAAATGTTTTTAGCCTCTTTATCGACGGTGTGAAAATGGGTAAAATCGGGTGACAACCCCCGACATATAACGGTACTGTTAAAAACTACTAAAAGCGCGATAAATCAAGCACTAAACAAGCCAGAGACATTAAATTTTTATTTCTGGGATGGTATGAGATGACTTTATAGGAACCACGTTCAAAATTAGTCAGTGGGCGTGGCCCCGCCCACTTTTAGGTGAAAACCCATATCTTGGGATCTGCATAACCGATTTTAACCAAATTCGATACATAATATTCTTCTCATATTTCTATATTATAGTACGAAAATGGGCGAAATCGGATTGCATCCACGCCTATTTCCCATATAACAGCATTTTAAATTCCATCTGATGTTTTCACTTTCCAGTATGCAAATCAAGCAACAATGATTATATCGGCGTAAAACTTTGCGTGAATAATACGTTTAAAGTATGCCACTTTATGACCAAAAATTGTCTAAATCGAATCAGTTTGTCCAACTGTACTGAATATGTGGACCCCAGTGCCAATAGCTGACTTTTTACCGAAAATATCGGTCAACATAGAACAAGGCGGCAAGATCCACAAAGAAATCTAAAACGAGTATACCATTTGACTTTGTGAGAGTATAAAATGTTCGGTTACATCCGAACTTAGACCTTCCTTACTTGTTTATTTATATTTTTAACATAGTGGTAAGAAACATCTGGATTGACCTCCAGAAAGATTCATACGAAACAACGATTAATAGAGGAAATTGTTAATTTGTACACTATATTTATTTCGTGGACTGTATTACTATTTTATTTATAGAAGAAAAATTATTCACAATTATTGATAACAAATATATGGTATATCAAATACAAAATAAAGTAATGTTGTTTTAGCAAGTTTTATTTTATTTTTATTTATTTTGTAGGTGGAAAACCCATAACACCAACAGAAGAGGACATTATTAGAAATGGCGAATCAAAACATAAAGATAAACACAGCAATACTATAATAGAAGAGATTTCTGATCAAATAAAGGTAAATTTTATACATTTACCACACGTTAGTTGAAAATTGTACATTCGAACTCGATGTTTTTGCTAAGATATTGCACTTTTTTTAAATGCTCCTACACTTGCTAAATGTCCCGTTTTTATTTCAAAAAACACGTTGTGAAATAGAACTGTAGACACACTTTTTCTTTTATATTTTGCTCGTCCAATTCGATCCAAGTTTGGTTGATGACATTCTCATAAACTCTTGCTTCACTACTCTTATAACGCAAATGTAAATTTTATCAATAAAGATATCGAAACGAAATTAATCACTAATATCTAGTAATTATTTTCAAAATATTTACAAAATCGATTTATTCATCAATCAAATAATTTAACAATCTCTAAATATCTCGGCTGCGAGTTTTCGGAGTTCTGATTTATAAATATTCCAGCCATCAAAATGTGTCTGACTCTACAGTCTGCACCTGTTTAACGAAAAGCTGGATTCCAGCGATTTACATAATATGTTCAATTCTATGAATTAGCGCCAGGACTGCACAATTTTAATGAATATAAATTTATAAAAATATTTTTTCTTTTATCTCGTAGGTTACTCAAAGTCAAGCGGCACAAAATGGAACAAAATCAAGTAGTGTACAAGCTCTTGGTGCTGCAAAGCCTCCAATAACTACAGATAATAATGGAGCATCTTCGGCTCAAGTCTCAAAAAAAATAGTACCTGGTCCATCTTCGGCTAGTCATATCATAATTGACGAAAAGAAAAACGCAAAGAAGGGGTGCTGCTCAATACAATAAATACATGCTTTCGGTCTATACAGTCATTCTCAATGATATCTTTTAAATATTGCACTTGTTGATTAGATATTTAATGTATTTCAGGAAAGCTTAAATTTACGCCGTGAGAGCTATAACGCATTCGAGTATATATTTATTTTTTGTTTTTGGTAATTGCACATCACAAGTTATACCAGTCGTATCATTATAAAAGTATTAATGTACACACTTTTATAAAAATGAACATTTAGCATAAACGAATCGTGTGTAATCGATTGTAGTAATATGATTGTCCGGTATTATGTTAAGGTATTTATTTAACACAAATAAATAATAAACGCCTAATTAATGCTTATAAACTATTTGATGCAATATTTTTCCAACAAGTTAATTTATTCTAACTGCCAATAATGAGTGCCTTTCGCATCAATGGAAAAATCGATTTTAAAATATATAAATTTTAATCTGTATTAGGTAATATATATATTATAACTTTAGCGAATTTTTTTTATAGTATTTTCCACAACTTGCATCAGCATTCTGCATTTATTTCTTGTTTACAACTTTTAAGAGAGCATCCGAACATTTGAGTTTTTTACAAATAGATGTTTATAAATGAAAACATTTACTTTATTTTACTATGCATTAAATATTTATATAAATTCAGGTGAGAATCTGATATATATTTTTTAATTTAATTTAATTCGTAAAATTTCGTAGCTTACAATACCACGATCAGTAGAATATTTTTGCCCAAAATAAAAATTTAATTTTACTTAACCTTAAATTGTTGTACAAAGAAAAATAATTAGCTGCCAACCAAAACGCAATAATGAAAATCCTATATATAATATTTTGACGTTGTAGGTTTAATCTGCTACATGTCGCACACATTACACAGAAAACCGCAGGAAAGGACCAGCGTTTTGTTAAATGAAACCTAGTGCAATATTTTTACGAAGAATAAATTAAAGAGTATACTAAAACGCTTTGAATAGACTTGTTAAAGTATACGAGGTGTAAAATGAATTTGTGAAAATGAAATAGTAATTTTGAATGGGAAAGTAAAAATTATTCAGAGTATCGACCATTGCTTTTAACACACATTTCTGGTAATTTGTGGATACCATGCGAGTAGAAATGTTCGTAATATGAAGCAAACCAATCAGACGCCCAATGCGTATCCCATCGATGAATACAAATCGTAATCGGAAGGAGCCAAGTCTGGTGAATACGTCGGGTGAGGTAGCAGCTCCCAGCCAAGTACTTTGATTATATCCTGAACCGATTTTTCTTTGTAAGCAGGTGCATTGTCGTATAACAAAATTACTTTGCGTGTCTTCTGCTATATTCTGGTCGTTTTTCGATCTATGTGTGGTTCAAATTAATCATTTGTTGTCTGTAGCGACTATTGCTACATGATATACCCCACCTTTCTGACCCCACCAAACACAGAGCGTTGTCTTTTTACCGAATCGATCTGTTTTGCAGTCGATTTTATTCGTTTAGGACTCTTAAAATAAATATATTTTTCATCGCCAGAGACAATGAGATTCAAAACTGATTTCTTCCGTGTCTTTGAAGCAAAATTTCACAAGTGTTTTTTCGGTTTTCCATTTATCTTTCATTCAATTCATGTGTCACCCATTTTTCACAGTTTTGGATCTTTCCCAAAGATTCCAAACGTTGTGAATTAGTTTTCTGAGCAACATTTAACATGACTGCCATTTGCTTTTGACTCATCCAATATTGCTTGCAGTTCGGCGTCTTCAAACCTTTTTTGTGGTCTTCCACGTTCTTCATGCAACTCCGCAGCACTTTTCTTCAAATGTAAACAAAAAATTAATGCTTTTCGCAAGTCATCACTTTCCAGTAAAAAATTTGATGTTTCCAACACAATGAAAAAATATGATGTTGTTTTTTCAATGTCTGCAAGGCTATTGAATATTGTAACGGATTTCTCGATAACTCACTCTTGAATTCGATCACTGGATTGTTAAATAAAAGTATCAATTTAATGGCTACACACTTATCTTTATTTCCAATTCCAACAATTTAACACTTATTGCTCGTTATTCGAGCTTACAACTTCTTGCTTATGTCTCAATTGTTCTTATCACAACAACACTCTAACTAGAACTGTGTTTGCTGCACAATCCGGCAGCCCTTATATAGTACATCTGTAACAAAACATTGCTTCTAGAACATTTTGCAACTACGAATTCGCTAACTAGTTGCTTCTGGTAGTTTATCGTTGATTCGATTTTGTTCTATCATCCGTGTTCGTCACATTGCCCTCCACCTAAGTCTGATCGTCCCGATTAGACATATTTGCGATACCAAACACAAAGCTTTTATGTCCCCTATCTCGTCTTCTAGGCTGGTGCTGACATCGTTAGCCGTCCTTCTCTTCTTGGAGTTAATTCCATCCGTTTTCCGGATACTTAGTTTGACTCCTGGACCTTGATCCTTTGACAACCAGTCCAATAAAACCTTTGCTTCAAATTCTCCAAGGATTTTATGTCTCTCAAGAGCCCTCCTCTTGGACATTTGTACTGCACGTTAAGAACATCCGGAATTCCAACCCTTGGAACAACCATAAGTACTCGGAAGGTTTGCCCATTTTCGCTTTTCCACACTCGATGCAAGCAGCCATACACTAACTTTAAACTGCTCTGTTCTGCCCAATACGATTTTGTGACTGGCCTTCCTGTAGTTATTTCTCCAATCGTTGTACATTGGTTCAACTCCACTTCATGTAATGCACCTTCCAATTCTGGATCTTCTTGCAAAGAGTCATCCGTTTCAGGTTCAATTTTATGCTGATCTTCCACCTGTGATGATATACACGCTGCCTGCTCTTCCAACTGTAAGGACACTTGTGCTGGTATCCAAGCTTCTTGCTCTTCTAACTGTGAGGAACCTTTTACTGGTTCACACGCTTCCTCCTTTTCCAACTGTGAGAACACCTGCCCTGACATACGCAGTTCCAGCTCTTTTGACTGTGAGGACCCTTGTACTGGTACACACGCTTCCGACTGTGAGGACACCTGCGCTGGCTTGCGCCCGTTCAGTTCTTCCGACTGCGAAGACACTTGTGCTGGTATATAAGCTTCTTGCTCTTCATACTGTGAAGATCATGGTTCACATGCTTCCTCCTCTTCCAACTGTGAGGATACCTGCGCTGACATATGCACGTCGAGCTCTTTCGGTGTTGACAACTGTGCTGAAAAACTCTCAAAGAAGGATTTCCACTGCGAGGACACCTGCGCTGGCATGTGCCCGTTCAGTTCTTCCGACTGCGAGGACACTTGTGCTAGTATACAAGCTTCTTGCTCTTCATACTGTGAAGACCCTGATTCACACGCTTCCTCCACTTCCAACTGTGAGGATACCTGCGCTGACATATGCACGTCCAGCTCTTTCGATGCTGACAACTGTGCTGAAAAATCCTCAAAGAACGATTCCAACGCAGCACACATAACCTCTACTGAATATTGAGTCACTTCCTTCTCTTGTTTCTTTGTTGTCTCTTCCTCTAATTCCGATTGACAGACATATTCCTCAACATTAATGTTCTTTGTTTCCATGGCTCTTCTTAACCGCCACTGTAATTTGGACTTTACTCCCTTTGTTTCCAAGCCACGTTTTTGCAGCTCCTTTTTCAGTTGTGGAATCTTCAGATCGTTAAACTTGGCCATTTTCAAACAATTCTCTCTTTGGGAATTTATTTGACAATCCCACTTCTGACACCAATTGTAACGGATTTCTCGATAAATCGTCTACCTGTAACTCACTCTTGAGTTCGATCACTGGATTGTTAAATAAAAGTCCCAATTTAATGGCTACACACTTATCTTTATTTCTAATTCCAACAACTTAACACTTATTGCTCGTTATTCGGGCTTACCACTTCTTGCTTATGCCTCAATTGTTCTTATCACGACAACACTCTAACTAGAACTGTGTTTGCTGCACAATCCGGCAGCCTTTATATAGTAAATCTGTAACAAAACATTGCTTCTACAACATTGTGGCAACTACGAATTCGCTAACTAGTTGCTTCTGGCAGTTTATCGTTGATTCGATTTTGTTCTATCATCCGTGTTCGTCACAATATGTTTGACTGATGTCATGCTAACCAAATAGAAAAAAATTAAGGCTCGTTCACAACAAATGTGTGTGTTGGTAAGTAAACACTTTTGTATCTTAGCTCACTTCATACCAGTACACCTGGTACATATATCTTTTATCTACTAAAAAATTCTCTGTATAATAAAATGATAATACGATTAAAATACATTTTTTTTTATGATAAAAATTACACAAAATAAAAGCAACAACAGTTAGCATCTTACAGTCGCCGAAAGCGTTAAGAGGGAAATAAGGTTTGTCGCGTATGCTGAGGTTCGATAAATCATTCCTTTGTAACAGCCTCGATGCAGAGTCGCGAAGCTTTTATAGCAAACTCTCTTACATATTTCGGTTACAATTAAATTCTGAAACAATTAAAATGAGCTTGTTTTTGTGCTCGCAATTTTTATACACTTTTTGATGAAAGAGAATTTTGGGCGTATACGATACCATTTTTTATAAAAAATTGAAAGTGCATTGATTTATTTTATTTGAATTATTTTCCCATTGTTGCTAAACGCTAAAAAAAACTTTTATTATCAATATGACCAAATCATGAAACCACCAAAACATTTTAGACCGGATTTAAACACATTTTATACAAGCCATGACGACAAATTCAAAATCTTGAAACATAAAATCTCACTGACTCCTTGCGATAGCAGGACAAGTTAGGAGTAGACGCAAGACAATTCCCACACTAGCCGGTTCTACGTTACCGGAATTGATCCAGATTTTATAAGGCCAAGGGCTGTTATTTCGGCGATCTAACCCTGTTTGGATCGAAAAGAGTTAGTTTCAGTTTGTCGTCATTAGAGCAACGCCTAGCAGTAGGGTTGCTCTATCCTCTTGACCCGTGTTGGCATCGAGTCCCTGCTGGGCTCTACACGGTTAGGTGTAACACATGCAATGGATGCCAACGCACTACTGGGCACCTGCCTCAATGGCTGTGCCACCTACACAATGTCCGCACCAAGAAAAGACTTCCACGGCCCTAAGGAGCTCATACAGGCAGCATGACTCCCTGTCTGACCAATCCTTTCCCCAACCTTCATCCCACTCCAATCCTCGTGCAAGAACCACTCAGCAACTCCTGGTTCCTCGCACAATCTGTTCTGTGTGTCAGACCGTAATACACCAGAATGTCACATCAGTCAAGTGCAATTCTTGTGCTGGCTAGTGTCATTTTCTGTCGCGTTCCGGCCTGCGCACTACACGTAAGTGGAGT